CGGCGGGAGGTCTCTCAGGGCCTGGGCTGACTCGTGAGGACATCTGAGAAAGCAAATCCACGTTAGGCAAAGCTGTGTGGGTGAAACTCCTTGATAGGAGGCTCTGGCAAGGAATTCAGTTTACTTTCATTCGCTTAAGGAGAACTAAACTGAATCATGGTCACTTGAATTCTGCCAGGACTGGGACAAAGTAAATGTAATGCGGCTTACCTTAATCCACTTGAAAAATCAATTCAGATTAATTTTCCTGAGTGCCTTGCACAGTTTGCCTTTTATTTTTTGCATCCTAACTAGTTTTACTGTTCGTGGCTGAAGCCTAGCATGACCGTAGCTTCCGTCAGTCACTGGAAGCGCTCCTGTGGTTATGCATGGACTTGAAACGCGAAGCTCGTACGTTGAGTAGCCAGTACTGAGAACAGGCGTGGACAGGTTCTGCTAACCATTTCACAGAGCCACAGAACTGCTGAAGTTGGAAGGCGCCTCTGCGGGTCTCTAGTGCATCCCCATGCTCGGAAGAGGGTCAGCTAGAAAAGGTTGCTCAGGGCCGTGTCCAAGCCGGTTTTGGAATATCTCCAAGGATGGAAACTCCACAACCTCTCTGGGCAACCTATTCCAATGTCTGACCACCCTCGCAGTAAAAAAAAGGGCTTTCTTATGTTTCAAAAAGTACTATTTTTCTTTTTCCGTGTGCCTCTTAGTATTTGATCGAGACACAGCTCACAGATATTTCCAGCTCCTGGAAGACAATCACAAAGTGACTAACACTGCTGCCTGGGAACAGCCTTACCCGGATCATCCCGAAAGATTTGAACAGTGGCATCAAGTGCTGGCTGATACTTTGGCCGCTTGGTTTGTACTTTGGCCGCTACTGTTTTGAGGCTGAGATCTCCAGGCCTGGCATTTACCTTGGGATGGCGTACAAAAAGCATTGACCAGAAGAGTTGAGAAAGCAACAGCTGCATCTCAGGGAACGACTTCTCCTGGAGCATTGTATGGAACGGGAAAGGGTTCTCTGTGTGGCACAGTGATGTGGAGACACCCCTCAAAACTGAAGTGTTTAATAGGATAGGAATCTACCTGAACTATCCCCGTGGGACCTTGAGGTTTTATGGGGTCACCTCTGATGACATGACTTTGATACACCAGTTTGAGTGAGAATTTTGCTGAGCCGCTTTATCCTGCATTTTGGCTTTCAAAGAAAGAAAACTCTGTCAGGATAATCAGGCTGGGGGAAGATGCTGAGAAGACCCCAGCCTCTTTGCCTCCCTCTGTGGAAGCTGCTCCTTCAAAAGCATCTGAGTCAGAAGAACTGGCCAGTACTTAGGTTACGGTGTGATGCAAATGCGGTTACTGCAGGTAGCTGGGAAAAAAAGGGAGACAAGTTTCAATAAACACTCTTGTGATCAAATGTGGTTCTGGGCATCTCATATCTTAGGGATGGACAAGACTTGAGAGTTCATGTCCTCGCTCATCAGCCAGTGCGAATTGTTCCCAGCAGTATATGAATACTCTATTTGGTATGAGTTAAAGGTGTTTTGTTTTTTGCTTTTTTCTCCAGTGAGGGTGTTGTGCTTAATGCCCCGAGGCCCGATTTTGGTCTTACAAGTGGGTGTGAATGGGCAGACAGAAGCCAGGAAGACAAGAGTGTGTTGCCATTTTCCCTGCTGGCTCTGGATAGACAGTCGCAGCCCCCAAGGACCAGCTCAGTTCTCAGCTGGCTTCAGGATCAGAGTGGTGTCATTGAGGTGGTGAAACATCCCTCTTGGTCCTCGCCCTCCCCGGTCTGCACGGAGGGCAAATAGCTACGGGTAAGGCTGATGCGTGGCAATACTGTTAGGTGAGGAGGAGTCTGTTCAGTGTCTCCAGGAACAGCCAAAAAGCTTGTTCCTTCTCCCGGGGTAACTGGCAAGCAGGTGGAAAGAGGTTGTGGCGAGCAGAGAACAGCAGAGGCTGCGAAACTGTAAAACCACGAGGCTGAGAGCAAGCGTTGGCTCTGCACTAGGCAGAGGGGTGAATTCCTGGAAGAGGAGCATGCAGCAGAGCTTGGGAGCCCACAGGAGGGTGCTCTCAGCCCATAGCTCGCTCCTGCTGCCTTCCCCGAGAGGCAGAGGAAGGACTGGAGGAAACCCTGCTCCCTCCTTGCTTTGCAAGTGGTAATTGGGGCCGAGCCCCGCAGGCTGGGGCTTCTGGCAGGGCAGTCAGTAGCGACAAGGAGGTCGCCCGCATATTGCTGACACTCATTAGCCTTCCCTTCCCCATGCCCTGGCCTCTGGCACTGCTGCCGTCCCTCCCACCACTGCCTGGCTCTCGCCATGCTGCCTGCGGGACATGCACCCTGCAAAGGCAGCCAGCTGAGGGGTGCTCCCCTGTTGGGTGATGTTTTCTCTGCCCCAGTATCCCTGCCCCTGGCCAGCTCTTGCCTTCACCTTCGCGAGTTGCTCCAAAGTGCAGCTCTTGGAGCCCCATGGCAGCAGAGGGGATGCAAGAGGGCCCCGTTGCATGCTAATTTAGGTGTGCATTCTGCAAAGTGAGTTTTTGCAAAGCTGCTTGCTCCCAGGACCAGAAAACAAACAAGTGGTGGGAGCTCCTCGCACTCTGCTGCTCGTTCAACAGGATGGGTCAGGCCACAAGGGACAGATCAGCGGAGCTGCAGGGACTTCAGCGTGCAGCTGAAGATTTCCACCTTCCAGAAGCCAGCAGAGGGGGAGAAGCTTTTACAGAGCGCTTTGCGGAGGAGGTCAGTCCATCGTCACCCCCATTCCACAAGTGGGGAAACTGAGGCAGTGTGTGGGGAGACCATTTGTCAGTGGTCACCTAGCAGAGAAGTGCAAAAGTGGGAGTAGCAGTGGGCTATTGGGGAGCCTGGGCAGCGCTGTATGAAGTACAGCATTAAATGATAGAAATGGTAAGGTGAGGGGGAAGAAAATGGAAAGGGAACAAGGCACGGGAATCTGCACATGGTTCTTCTACTGCTCACCAAAAGGTAGGCTGAAAGCCAGGCTTTAATTTTTGAAATTTTTGACAGGGGGAAACAGACAAAAGAAAAAAAACCCAAACCCAAAAACAATCAAACAAGGCCAAAACAAAGTCAGTGGCTGTTGAAGTCCAAACATTTTGAGGCTATTTTTATTTAACCTCTACAAAAATATGTGAAACTTAAAAAAAATCCACTTATGACCCAATGTCTGAGGAGTTATGTTTCATAAAATGGTCTGACAAGATCCAGTGTCTTGGAGATGAAGCTGGACAATGGTATCTAGGCATGAGATGCCCATTTTCATAGTGAGGGCAGTAACAGCTGGGTCACCTTAGTGGGTCCAGCGCAGCTTCTCCTTTGCTGAAAGCCCGTAAATTAAGAGTGGATGTGTATCTAAAAGATGCTGCTGTTGTGATAGGGCTGGTGCTTGTAGAGACTCTTTGGTCTGTGTTATGAGAAATGCCAAATTAGACAATTACATTGGTCCCTTTTGGTCTTAAGCTTCCGCTGATGAAAACTGACTGAAGAGGGACAGCCTGGCCAAAGCAGTGGCTTCCCACTGGCAGTGTGGCCCTCAGGGGGCTTTGGAACGAGGTTACCCGTAGCACTGGGGTTTGAGTGAGTCTCTGGCAGTCGCAGGGATGGGGGCAATGCGTTGCTTCTCCTTCCTTTGCAGGCTGAAGTTTCCTCTCTCCCTGCAGCACTCTGTACCCACACCTGGAACGTCACTGGCTGTATCCCTGCTTGGGCTTGTCCTGCCAGAAATAAAGTTCCTTACAGGAGAGACAGAGTTCCAATTGCACCCTGACATGGACAAAAAGGAGGAACAGCCACGGCACTTGCTCCTCTTGGGCTGTTACAGAGTTGGGACCAGCCATGAACTCAACTCCCAAGTCTGGTTGCAGCCACAACTCATGTTTCCGGGCTTAGTCCTGTTCCCTCTTCATCCTGGGCACAGACCCGCCAAAATCTGCTTCCTTGCCCCCATGGCAGCACCAGCGTGGCAGGTGATGCCAGACCCTGTTGGGGAGCATGGTGATGACACTGTATAGCCCCATACCCCAGCGCTGCACCTTGATCTTGCACTGGGAGAAACCTCCACCCAAAGCTGGCTCTGGCTGCTCTGGCTCTGCTCAGCTCTCATTTTAGCTTGGCAGCTCCTGCCTGGGAGTTACACATTTTATTCCCAGAATGCCAAGCTGCTCCATCCCTCGGGTGCATTTAGGGATTGGCATGCAGATAAGCCTGTCGCTGCATCAGGCTGCGATAATTAAAAGTGAAGTTGTAAAACAAGCAGTATCAATTTTGGTGTACGTCCCCGGCAACACAGGGTGATTGGACTGAGATGGGAGGCATTTCCAGCTAAACAGCAAACTGGAAATAGCCTGCAGAGAATATATGAGAATTTAGCTTGTGCAGCAATTTCAGATGTCAAAACAAGTTTCCTTGTTAATATAAAACTATTTGGACTTTGCATTTTTAATTAAAGCTTTTAATTATCCAACTGTATTTTATTAGCTTTTATGAAGACAGCTGCTTTAAATGCTATAAGCCAAATGTGTGCTCTGAAGCACTACTTGTCCGAGTAAGGATTTCGGTTCTGAACAGCCTTCACGATGAGTAAATGGGGTTATTGAATTTAAACTGTAATTTACTGTCCCGGCTTGACTGAACCTCTTTTATGGCAGAGACAACAAATAACCCTGGCTGGAGGGTTTGCGTGCCCGTAGCTGGGAGAGGATGCTGCATTTACAGCATGGGGACACGGCTGTTGGTTCCTTCCAGGGAGAGCATCAACTGCTGTTAGAAAGGGCTCGTCTCCCCACCTCATTTCCCTTCTCAGGCTGTTTTTTTGCCTTTGAGCACCAGAACGAGACTGAAAGCTCCTGGGTGCAAGCCTCTTGCACCCTTGGGAGGAGATGAGATGCCAAGCCCCACAGCGGGAGCTGTGGCTGTTGGCCCATCTCTGCAGAGCAGCAATATTGCCTTCTCCAGCACGGGGCCCCAGGGGAATTTGCTGGTTTGCAGGAGGTCAGACTTTGTATCTGGTCATAGACCATGCCTGCTATTAAGTACTGTGATCATAGACTGGCTTTATTACACAATAGCTAGTGCTTGTAGTTCTATTCATAACCTGCATTACTTGTTTATTTGGATCCTGTTATTTACAACTGCAGTGTGGCCTCTCTTGGTTTGCAGCATGCCAGTAGTTTAACAGCTCGTGAGAAGCCTTTGTGTCCTACGTACACTGGAGAAGAGGGAAAGAAGAACAGTATATCTGAATAAAATTGCAAGGGAAGAGCTGACAATCAGAAGAGGGTTTCTAGCTGGTGTGCACTGAGCTCAGTGCCGAGTTCGTGGGAAGTGGTTTGAGACCTTATTCTTCATCGCTGCCAAAAATCAGCACAGTGTACTAAATCACCTGTAATTTGGAGAGAAGAAAGGTGAAGTGGTCAGTTTGTAAGCCCTGATTCAGTTCATAGCTAGTGGAAGCCAGCAGGCTCCCAGGAGGAAGCGACGGTAGCTGCGCGTGAAGCTTAAAGGGCGGCTCAAGAGACCTTACTTGTGTTCCTGCGTTAGAGGATGAATAAAACCCTTGGTGCTGAGGCAGGACTGGTGTCTCTAGACCTAGTTATAACTGCTGGCTATAAACTATGCTTTCCTCTGTCCTCTTTTATGTTTCAGGGGAGCTTAAGCTGGGATTGATACCAGTGCAATATTGTTCAAAGGAGACACCACTACTCAGCGTGGCCTGTACATGCCCACATGTACAGAGGTGCTTACACCGTTCAAGCTGTTAATGAACACGTCCGTGTGCACATGCCTGGGCTGAAAGAGCAATAAATTGAATGTCTTCTGGGTTACCTTAGACTAATGCCTGTGCTGATGATTTATACCTGTGCAGCATTTCACTTCAGATGACAGATGGATTTCTCCAGCAGAAGGATTCACAGGTATCTGTCATTTTTCCCGATCACGCAGAAACCTACTCCCCGTGAAAGCTGCTGTTTGCACTGACAGCCGTGCAGCGCTGGGGGATGTTTTTGCTCTGATGTTAAGCATCTGTGTCCAGCAGTGCACTGTGAAGGGCAACGATCCCCAGGCAGGGGCACTTTCCAAGAGAGCTCAGTGTAGAAATGATGGCCAGTGATGGGGATCGTGTCCAGCTGGCCTGGTGATGCAGGTACACAGAGCACAGGGACTTAGTGGTGCTGGGATGATGGCAGAGAGCTGCTCTAAAAAGCTTATGTTCTGAGTCCTGGTCACAGTCCAGTTGCCTATCCCTTAGCAAGAACCCAGTCTGACAGCTCTGCTGTGGTCTGGTGGGGTCATCAGGAAAACAGCGGCATAATTTAGTGTGATTTCCTTTCTCTATCCTTTTCCCTGCCTAGCCTGAGCCTCACATTGACACCAAGACTCAATCAGCCCTTCTCCCCAGTTGTGCTGGTCTCCCTGGCGCAAGGCTGAAAGAACCTGGTGCAGCAAGCGTACGGAGACCACTTCTCCCAGGTGAATGATGAATGTAGGACTTGGCTTCTTGTTGCTGCCAGTCTCTTCATCTGACTGTGATTGTAAGAGGGAGGAAAAGATGGAAAGGAAAACTGAGAAAGCTAATGAACTTGAAAAATGTATGTAAGAAAGGAGTGAAAGTAGAGCTGGAAGAGAACAGGCTTGTTGTCACTTAATAAACATGTTCCTCTTGCTGACAGCATCTCCCTCTTGATTTGTAGGTCGAGTTTTTAGAGCAGAACAAGGACTGGACTCTGGCTCTGCTAGGCTGCCCAAAGGAGCGAGGCAGCCAGGCAGGCTAGACCACTTTCCCAAGGGGGATTTAACAGGATATCAAAAGGGTGGGCCTGGAACAGAAAGTCTGACTTCATCCCCTCCTAATTGCTGAGTTACATCAACCAACGGGCTGACTCCTCACTGGGGATGATGGTCTATTCCCAGAAGCCCAGTGGAGAGGGCTGGGGCTATGTAAGTGTTTTGCTGTTGAAAAGGCACTGAGAGTTCAGAGGGAGATCAAGGAGATTTAAAATCACAAGTGAATGTTCCTGTGGTTCATGGATGTGATGGTTTGAGTCTTGCCAGGCTCTACCCATCGACTCCACATGATGAGGAGAAGCACAGTGATCTCCTGAGGTGGCTGAGTGCTGCTTACCGAGCCAAGTGCTGCCAGGGAGGGGTGCTGGGGCAGGTGCCAACACTCTGCCCAAACTGGTGCAGGCTGGGGCTCTGTGCCCTGCTTGTCCTGCTGCTGGATAAACATGGGCAGAGCTTACACTGTCTGGGTGTGCCTGAGCTGTGGTCCTGAGCATGCTGAACCTCCTATTCCTTGCTGAGTATTGGCCAGGGGGTGGCTTGTGCCTCCCGAGGGGTGGCCAGAGGTGGCCTGTCACAGGTGGCTCAGCATGTGGGTGCCTGCCTTCCTCCACTGAGGGTTGCCCACCTGGTGCAGGACTGTCCCTGGCACAGACCCTGTGCAGAGCCCTGGGCAGACTTGCCTTTCCTGTTGATAAAACGCAGATACCAGCCCTCTGCTCCTGCACTTGGGCTGCAAAGCCCTTGCAAGCCGTGTCGCACAGCAGAGCGGGATCTTAGTCAGGGCTTTGAGCCCGTCACACTAATTCTACCTGCTGGAAGCAGGAGGTGAGCAACCCCAGGAGGGCTTTGCTTCTCTGGAAGTCTTGGGGTTGGAGACTACGATGCTGTTTATTTTCTGAAAAAGGGTAGGGAAATCCATCTATGCACAGCTTCTTGCCTCAGAGGAGACGATTGTGCCACGTTATGGACAGCATCGTTCATATCTGGGGTGAAGAGCATAGGCGTGGGGGGTTTAAAACCAGCTCCCAATTTGCCTGGGAGAGCAGCATGTGTTGGGTCCTCTGCTGTTGGAGATAAATCACAGGAGGACTTGAGGCTGCCGCCGGAGTTTCTCGTGCTAGATGAAATAGCAGCAGGATGAGCATCATTAGTATGCTGGGCTGAGAAACGGAGGTAAGAAGCACCAATATTAAATACGTAGCTCGCTCCTGCTCTGCAGCAGCACTCAGGGCAGACACATCCCCTCTGTGCCAGGGTCCAATGCATCCAGAGGGACAAGGTCTCTAAGGCTATTTTAAGGGCTCAGGATCAAAAGTGACTGACCTGAAGGAACAGAACTATGAAGCCCTGCTCAGGGTGGAGAAGAAAATGCTCCACTTTAGCTGGGAGCGATGCCGAAGCATTTTGGGGGGAGAAATGTCATATTCCCACCTTGGCCTCCAGCTTGCTGGGGACTGCTGCCAAAACTCTTCCTTTCTCTGCACCACATTTGCACTTTGCATACATGAGGATAAAGGCATTTGCTGAATCTCTTCTTATAGAGGGCTTGAGGCCAAGTTGGGAGGGAAGCGTGAGATACCAGCGCTCATAAAAAAAAATGCCCAGACCAGATCCCTCTCCCACCTCTTTGGAAATACTACCCTGAAGCTGGTGAATTCCTCTTACTTTACTTTCACATGGGGTGGATGAGAGTCCCATGTTGATGTGCCAAGGAACAGCAGGACCACTGGGCTCTCCCATAGCTCCCAAGCGTCCACGGTGGTTCTGGAGAGAGCTGAGCTCCGCTGCTGGCTGGTGGACACTACCGTCAGAGTCTTGGGCCCATCGGGACCACACAGAAGAGGCCGAGCCCTTTCAGGGTCTCACCTCCCAAGAGCTCTGGAACACAAGTTGAGGCCATTCTTCAGGCTCCCTGTCTGCATGGTGGGAGAATTGAGCCTCGGGTGAGTCTGGACTAATATTCTGCTGACAGTACGGACAAACCCTAGCTCTGCTGGAGCTGGGATTTGAGTTGATCCAGTCTGCCTTGGTTATCTAGAGCAAGTGGATAAAGCAAGGCTGTTAGGCTTTTCTGTAAGGCTTTGAAAAACAGTCAGGAGAACATGATGTCTTTGAGGAAATGAAGCACTTCTTTGAAAAAAGACTGATTTTCCCAAAAGAAACCCTCTTTTAATGGTTCAAAAGAGACAAATGATGAGAACAATTGCCGCCAGTTCCATTGCAGGCATTACAGCTGGGTCAGAAAAGAGTACCAGGAAAGCCTGAACTCTCAATACTCAGCAGCGAGCCTCTTTCACTGCAAAAAACTCTCTCATTAAGCAGAAATGAGGAGAGAAAAGGGAACAACAATGCACTTTCTACAACCCCATCCCTGACGAGAAGGAGCACGAGCAGCATCTCAGACGTCCCCACTGGGCTGCCCGCGGGAGAGGCAGAAATGGCTGTTTCGAAGCCGCTCAGTCGAACCGTGCCAGGAGTTTGGTTTCAATCGCTTGCACTCGAGCATCATTTTGCTCCTCATCCGCGAGGGAAGGAGGTCGCCGTTTGCTGCTGGCACAGCTGCTGCCAAGCCGGTGTCGCCAGGCCAGATCAGGCTCTGCTGATTAATTACGAGTTAAAGGGCACATGTTAAAGTGGCGAGAAAACAAACTTTGGGCTGGCAGATCCTTCTTGCCTGGTGCTCTCTGCTTCCAAAGGTTAAAATAACTAATGAACGGCCTTATCTTGCATATGGCCTGGGTGTCTTGTCACACCAGACATCACTGCTTGGTCCCCAGGTGACGCCTGGAGCGAGGATGCTGGGACGTGCCAGCCACAAGGCTCTTGGATGGGGCAACATCTGGCCAAGCCGTGCAGAGGCTGCCTAAGGAGGCTGCAGGGTGCTGGGCCATCACCACGTTCATCAGCAAGTACTTGGGGCTTGACCTGAAGGCTGAGAGCACCGTGGGTTCACTTTTCCCTTTGACTGTTCCTTCTTTGGATTTTTTTTCCTTGGGATCTTCAAGGGGAGCTTTCCAGAAGAGAGACTGTGCTTTTTGTCAGCGTCTGGTCTGGGTCTCGCTGCATCTGAGAGCTTGTAATGATGGAGATTTAATGCAAATCAAATGGACTTTTCATCTTAGCAGAAAAGTATTTACAGCCCATTAAGTAGATGGGAAAACTGGTAATTTTTTTTTGAGGGGAGCAGAGAAAAAAAAAAATAATGCCATATAAAAAGTGGCCTCAAAAGGCTCTTACTTTGAGAAATTTAAACTGAGAAATTTGTCAGCTTTGGGGATGGAAAACTCATCATTTATATATAAAAATATATCACTTTTAATTACACAGCCAACCTCAGCTTTACTCATTAGCTGCTTGCACTATCCTGCCAAGTTACACAGTGGTGAGCTGGCGGGAATATTTTATATGGCACGTTATCCTGGATCAGAAAAGCCAGCATATGGTTTTGCCGGCCTTTGTTTTCCTCTGCTGAAGGGTAGGGAAGAGGATGCAAAAAAAAAAAGGGAAAGGAGGCTAGACGATGGGGCAAGAAGAGGAAGGGAACGGATGCTGGGCAAAAAGCTCAAGGTTAGGTGCAGGGCTAGCCGGGAGCAAGCGGGATGCGGGGCACAGTGCCCCGTGGGGCTGCGGGCGACCACGGGGTGCCCCGGGGCGCGTCGCAGATGGGTTCGATATGGGTGGATTTGGTAGCAAGGGCGCCAACCTCAAATGAGGTATTTTGGATGTGGGTCTGGTATGCCTCGGAGGCTATTTCAGCCAGCTGAAATATTGAGGGAGGTTTGGAGTATCTGCCCAGCCCGGAGGCGCTGGAGCCGGCTTCGGCTTCGTCAGCGGCCGCGGCCAAACGTCTCCCGAGGGCAGCAGGCGCCGTCCTGCTCCCGTCGGAGGGACGGGCCCGGGTGCCTGGCGGTGCCTGATCTTGCCGCGCTCCCAGGCTCGCAGCTGATGGTTGTGACGGGGGGAACCTGGGTGACGGGGTCCAAACAGCCTCTTTTAGGTCACCGAGTGTGACCCCTCTCCTCCACCTGGATCATGCCCCTATCTCCTTCCTGCTCATGTTTATGGCATCTTCAAATACCCCGTTGATAAGGCACCGGCTCGTTGCTGGGATAGCCACCGTCTGCACCTAATCACTCTTGCTCCTAAGACAGTTTTTCTTCATGTCTTGCCTGAAATATTTCCGTTTGTAGCTTCAGGCCCCAGCACTCCTTATTTCACCGTTTCCAGATCGTTTGAATAATCCCCCTTTCGCCTTTGATGGTATTTCCCTGAAGGTATTTATAGCGTTATCACGCTCCCTATTTAATCTTTTTTTTTATTATTTTTTAACAGGCTGTATAAAATTAAACTCCCGCCAGTCTCTTCTCCTTTGCCTCTCAGCTCTTTGTATGTTTGCAGTGGCTTATTTTGAGCTATCCCTGGTTTGTGTGACCCCTTGGATACGACTCTCTGTCTGAGAGTCCTACTTCCAGCTCTTCCACCTGGAAGGAGTCCCCTAGCAGTAAGCATTGCCCCGGCTCCCGCAGGTGAGGAGCAGAGGGTGTTAGGGGCAGCACCCATGGGAAACCTTACATTGAAGGTCTTTTTCAGGTGTCTCTAGAAACAAAAGTCTTCCAGGATAGGTCTGCTTTCCTGGTTTTTTTTTTCCCCCCTCCCTTCAGAAACAGAAATGTACCTTTTACATTCAGGAAGAAAAGTCAAACATTTCCAGTGAAAATGGAAAATAGCTGATATTTTGAGAACTTGCCCCAAAGGAAGAAGACCCCCCCTCCTTTTTTTTTTAGCTACAGTCTCCCCGGCCAAGCTGGACTACTGCACAGAGCTGCTAAAAGTCTC